TCGCTGACGAGCGCCAACTAGCGCGAAACCTAGGTTCAGCCAAGGCTTCCTGCCTATCACCTCCAACTATCTAATATCTATCACTGCATTTTACTCACCTTATAGGTAAAAGTGTTATAACACACACTACCTGTGGTTCCCAAGAGAAGTAGAGACGAAAAAATAAATATACAATAGTTTATCTTTAAACAAGGAATAATCAGGGGAATTAGGAACCCTAAGAAAACTTCACCCTACGACAGGTTGTTTGTACAAAGTCTACGTCAAATAACTCGTTGAAACTGAAACAGTAGAATGTTCCAGTGATTTGAGATTCCATCAGTTGAGACTAACTAGGAAGTAGGTTTTCAAAAAAATTAAGTCAGACTGTATACGTAAGGCAATAACACTTTTAAGTATATTTTTCAGTACAGGACCTAATCAAAATACCACCAACAGCACACACGGAAATGCCTGCCAATGGATACCACTCCAACGAAAGAAGAAATCATGAGTGAGATCAAGCTACTGAAGTCCAGCCAGGAAGGCGGCAGGACCAGACGGCATTCCTCCTGAAGCACTGAAGACGGCTACAGAGATTACGGCAGTTGTACTCACTCCACTACTGAAAAACGTTTGGAAGGAAGGAACGGTGCCTACTGATCGGAAGAAGGGCTGACTACCTCGTCAAACTGGCAGAGAAAGGCGACTTAGACCTATGGAAGAACAGGCGTCCACGATAAGTAAAATACTAAGTCGTATTATCCTGGAGAGAATAAAGGATGCACTGAATACGGAACTCCGTCAGCAATGAACAAGCTGAATTCAGGAAAGACGAATTGCAGCTGTAAACATCATCATCACAGAACACAGCATGGAATGGCAGCCAAACCTCCACCTCAAAAGCTTCATCAACTTTGAGAAGGCCTTCCACAGACAATGTTGACCGAGAAGTCACTTGAAGACTACTTCAACACTACGGCGTGCAGTTCCCAATTCTTTATCAACCTCATTCAACACCTGGTTATTTGACAATGGTAAGTGTCGGATGATCCGCAACGGGAAACTCAGCAAGGCATTCGAAGTGCATACAGGAGTAAGACAAGGCTGACTGCCTGTTATCACCGATGATATTTTTAATTGCGGTGGACTGGATTATGTGTCAGACTGTTGAGGGCGAAGAGTCAGGAATACACTGGGCGAGCAACAAGAAGACTAGAAGATCTGGATTTCTCAGGTGGATATACGTAAAATGATACACAAACTCGAAGAATTGCAAGCGAAAGCCAACAAACTGGCTGAAGAATCAGGCAGAGAAGACGGGATTCCAGGTGAAGATTGTTATGTACTCGTCGCTAAATTATTGTTATGGACTAGTCGAGAAACTAATAGTCCTGACGCAAGAAGGCGGATATCAGAAGACCACTAGGTTTGCGATGATACTTCTATTGTCCAAACACAAGGAGACGAAAATAAATGGTCTCACACCAAAGTGATAAGTAAGTAAAGTAGTTCACACAAATTGTGTATGCGAAATATATATGAATGTTCCAGACAAGGGTGTGAACAAATCATTAGACAGTCTTAACATGAATGGCTAATTATAATGAAGTATCGATCCATATATACACATAGCAGACATGACAACAACCAAACATATAACATGGATATATGTCACCAAGCAACGGACTGTCAATAAACACTCATATTATATATAATATAAGGGGAATATACATTGTTAAAGGAGACAAGTTCATACAAGTGAAATGGTCACAGACTAAGAGAACAAACAGAAAGAGAGACCAACATACACACACATAAATATATATATGTGGATACATATCAAAGATAAAGGATACGAGGGTGATGCAAATAACCAACCAACAGCAACAACCAGCACCAATCACTATCAACGGGAGAGATTTAACAGATGTTGCATTCTTCACTTATCTGGGAAGCATCATCTCAACTACGGGCAGTCAGAACGGATGAAGATGTCAAAATTAGAATTGGAAGGGCAAGATACGCCTTCATCAACCTGAAATCAGTTTGGAAATCTTTCGCACTCAGCATTGTGAGCACGATTTGCATTTTTAACACCAATATCAAGTCTTTCCCTCTATACAGTTCAGAAACATGCAAGGTGTGTCGCGTAAAGGATTTCCAACAGCCAGCCCGCCGTTGCAGACTTTCATCAATAGCTGCCATCTTCGCTGGCTCCATACTGAAGATCAAATGGTCAGCTGGTCAGCCAGTAAAAATTATTAACAAAAAACTGTGTTTGGGAACAAACGAACAAGCAAGAGCCGATCGATGAACAACACATGTAGAAGAAAACGGGGATAGATTTATCCGGCATACTTTGAAGAGGCAACCGAATGACATCGAGCACAAGGCCATTGCTCGAATGAAATCCCATGGGGAAGCAACGAGTTGGTCGTCAGTGAAACGGTGACATGGAGGACATTGTGTGAAGAAGAGATGAGGGAGTTTGGTAAATTTTTGTAGCTAGCCAGCTGAAGAGGATGGCAGAAGACAGGACAAAGCGGAGGTGTGTTGTCAAAGCCAATACCCTATATCCCACTCGGAACGCAAGGGAATACTTATATATATAACATAATAATCTGTCTATCTGTTTTCGACATAGAACTTTGCACCGATGTACACCAGTTCAAGTCACTACACTCTCTGCATGTAGCACACAAAGCAAGAGAAGAAAGTATAAGAAAGACATAATAGAGAGAGTAAACAGAGGTGTGAGACAAAGGAATACTAATAACGAGGAACGATAAAGTTTCATTTGAAATCATAAGTCACAAGGAGTGAATGGATCTGCGCTGTCATTGAGAACGATTTTGAGCTATATCACCAATTGTCTCCAGTAGTCATTGTTTTTTACTGTCCCGAGGACCCCAACTATTCAGGAAGTCTACACCTCCATACATGGCCAGCTTAAACTAACTGTTGCAGATTTCATTGACTGATGAAACCATGTTTTGGTTTGACCACCACTAGCTAACTGTTTTCCAACCTGACCCTATGTCAGCTAACATTTCCCATCGAGGAAGGCGACGACTAGGCATACGTGACACATGTCCTAACCATCTCAATCGATGTAATTTCACAGCCTCATCGAGTGATTTTCCCTCCTTACCTAGCACTCAACGCCTGACCTCAATATTGCTCATCCTATTACAGCACTTCACACGAGTTATAGAGCTTAGTCACCTATGATCAAAGACAGATATTCTTTTCATGTCTTTCCCTCTCAATGGCTAAGTCTCACAGCCATAAAGGAGGACGGACAGGACTGCTGAGCAATACACCCACCCTTTGCCCGATAACCGGATATCACATCTACTAGGCCACAGAGGCCGTAAGCAGGCATATGCGAAACTAGCCCTCTGCATCCGTACTGAGATTTCGTCAGAGATCAACCCGATGGCACTGACTGATGGTACTTCCTAAATAAGTGAAGCCGTCAACGTTCTCTACCACTTTACTTCCTGTTTCTAAACTACGAGTCAGTGTAGTCTTAATTAACTGAAAGTCAAATACTTCCCTGTTGAGTTAGTTGCATTTTAACCAATTAATTATCAACAGGAGGGATTTGAAAGAGGTTACTTCACTCACTCACTTATCTAGCTTTGAGCATTGTCTCAACTACAGGCCACAGGAGCAAACGAGGATGTCAAATCGAGCGAGAATCGGGAAGGCGAGCGAGAAACACATTCATCAACCTGAAATCAATCTGAAAATCTTCGTCACTCAGCCAGAATCAACAACAAAATTCAGCCCAATTTTCAATACAAAAAATGTCAAGTCAGTCAGTTCTTCTATACAGAACGGATCAGAAACTTGGACGGCGGGTGGGTCACAAAGAATATTTCCAACAGCCTGCAGCACACATTTATCAACAACTGTCTTCGCTGGCTCTATACTGAAGATCAGATGGCCAGGCCGGAAAGAATCACCAGCAGGAAACTATGGGAACAAACAAAGCTAGAACTAATCGCCCAACAAATATGCAGGAGAAAGTGGATTGAGATGGATCGGACACTCGCTGAGGAGACCACTGGGTGACATCGTGCGTCAAGCCATTGCTCGAGTGGAACCCGAAAGGGAAGCACACGGCGAGTGGGACGTCAGTGCAGGGGTGGGTGACATGGGGGAGATCGTGTGAAGAAGAGGAGGAGGAGGAGTTGAAACAGTCACTATGGACTAACATGGATGGAAGCAGGTGAAAAGTACAGCAGAAGGGAGACAGAAGTGGCAAATGGAGACGTGCAGTTGAAGCCCTGTGTTCCACTAGGAACCCAAAGGAGCAATAATAATAATACCCAGTAACCTTTATATATATCTGATTCGTTGATTCACTCGCAGGACATTCACCAACCACGTGCATAGTTGAAGTTTTATCTGCAATAAACGCACCCCTAAAACATCGCTGACTTAGCTCATCAGACATTAGCACACCGGGTAGGCAGGGAAAGTTTCACGAAAGGCTAGCGGTCCAACAGCATAAAATCAAACACCAGTGCTAATGAAACTCAAAAGATTGAAGCTTATTTTTCTCAAGGAGGAATGAAAAACACCCCGATGTATTTCTTACACCAACTAGTAGCTTTGAGATGAACTCTTTAATTACCTGTGAACATGAAACTAGTGTTTTTTGTGCGTCGGTGGCACAGAGGTTAGGATGCTAACCGACCATACACATGGTCCGGGGTTCGATTCCCTACCGACGCACTCCTTAACCTCGCTAAGCCAGAAGTAATGCTGATAAAGAGGAAAGGTTGGACATGAGGCTAGCAACCCCATCCCTTAAAAGAATAAACACTACTACAGAAACTTCAAGCCACTGGCCTGACGCCCTATGTTCCCCTGGGCACGTGAAGGAAACTAGTGTTACTGCATAAATAAATAAAAAAAGAACAATTCAGATAATATTTCAAAATAGATATTTCATACATTTTCTTCAAGGTGTTGAATTATTACGTCGTATTCTAAACACACATCCAATGGTACACTGCAGGTCAGAATCAAGCATAAATCAATTGTTGCAGTACAGAAGAAACAAAGAATATCATGCAAAGAGACTATCAAAATCTGGTATTACTTCTGATGTACTAAATGAAGCTACAGCCGCGTTCATATCTACAGTTATTCAAGAAATGGGACCAAAAGCACAAAAACTCTGCCTAAAAGATTCAACATACTTTCAATTCTTAGATGTCTTGAATGATGTGTTCCCAAGGTCAAAATTTATTTTAATGGTTCGAGATCCAAGGGCTGCTGTAGCATCCATTATAAGGTAAGTTAGTTCACACGTTTTGATTCGTTCAGCAATCAGGTTAAAAAACCCAACTGGAACTAGTTCATGAAGCATATTATTATGTGTGCAAAACTTGGGCAATGTGGTAGTAAGTAATTCCATATCAGTTGGTTTATTAGATGTATCACACAGTCACTGAAACAGTATTACTGTTTACTGGATAACACAGTTTTGAACACAATTCATTATTGTTCATAATCATTCCATCAGTTATAATCACATGACTTCGAAACTTCAGTTTTATAGTCTTCTTTGTCGTTTCCTATTTGTCGTAGTCGGGGTAGTAAAATTTTCCAGATATCCGACTGGACAGGTGTTGAATCATTCCTATTACACGTATTCTTTCTCAGTTGATTCGATAAACAAAGCTTCTGTTAATAATCTCTTATCTAACACCTTCAAACACTCTGTTTAAATTTTGGCTTTGCTACCGACATGCTAATATGTTGTTGTCAAAACTGACTGAGATAACTTTAATCTATGTAGAACTTTATTTATTGTTAATGTACTTACTGGATGCAATACTGTATGCAGTGAAATGCTGAGAATTCCATTCTGTATCGCAAGTACTGATTTGGAATAAAGCTTATCTTATCTTATCTATTTACAGTAAATATTTGTGATTAAAAATGAGCAACTTAAAAATGCCTGTTGAGTCATATAAAAGAATAGACGTTCATAGAAGTGTTACTCGTCTTTCCGGTGATATCATTCTCAAAGTGTACAATCACATTCATAAGTAGTAGTTAATTCTCTTAGTAATAAAATGAATAGAAATAATTAAGAGAGAATATAAGGCATCTACTGTTATACCATATAAGTAGGGGATATCTGAGACCATCCCTAAGTAGGATTCTTAATAAAGCAGAAATTAGAGTAGCATTTGAGTATCCAAACCTACTCATGGCTAAACGACCCTGTCGATTGACCCAATTAGACAAAATAATATAATTTACAGCATACCCTGCAATGACTGTGAATGTGGTCAACTACATAGGTCAAACTAGTAGGTCGTGGGGAGTCAGATTGTCGGAAAACAAGAATTTAGCTAAGGTAAGAATGGTTGACCATGAGAAGATAAGGAATTTAGAAGAAAAACTGGCGATTGCACTGCATGCATTAACACACAACCACACAAGAGCATGAAGGGAAAGGGTTAAGATTCTAAGAAGTAATATAGATAGGTGGAGAGAGATTGACTACTGGTTCATTGAGTCTTCACTTAACACAACACATGCAACAGAAATGACTCAATGCAAATACCAAAGATATGCATGGAAGATATTATTACCACCAGTCAGTCAGTCAGTCAGTCAAATCAGAGGAGGATAATAAATAATCTCAAAATTCTATTTCAATTCAAGCACATCACAACATTCTAACAAGTTACTTATTTCGACGATAAAATCACTCGTCTTATTTCCTATCTGATTGTAATCGATCAATAGCACTCATATTAATATTTCTGAATGTACATCACCCTACATTGATTTGTATTCAAATGTCTAATCATCAATCCCATTCATGTATACAAATGATGGGGAAAAGTTGTGTGAGTGACTTGTTATTTATTTTTTTATTTTTGATTACAGCTTGATTCCACACGTATTTTTGATACAAGTGTGGAATTTTCAGCGTGGATATCGGTAGCCCAAAATTCGCAGGCCGACCATAGATATCAAGTGTGCGTCGGCGCGGGCCCGAACCCCGGACCATGTGCATGGTCGACAAGAGTCCTAACCATTGTGCCACCGACGTACAAATAAATTGTGCACGAAACGTGTTCATCAATTAATATCACTGTATAACACGACTGTGTGATTTATCAAAATAAAATCTTATCCGTTATGGAGTTGTACTCTACCACAGTGCCCAAGTTTTATTCTTATATCAAGTACGTAAAATGTTAAGCGGATTAGGAGTGTACAGCTATTCATTAAATCCTCCATCGGTAACTACTGTAACTGGTTTCAATAACCTGAGACGAGCAGGTGCTACAGGCAAACTATATTAATATGTTACTTGATATATATATATATATATATATGCAATGTACTTATTCCATACTTGTACCAAAAATGCAGTGTGGAATCAAGCTGTAAATCAAAAAAAAAAAACACTTATTAACTTCCCTAGGCAAGATATAAAAAGAGGACAGGTATCTCAGAATATTACCACGACGATTCTTGAATATGATGAAATAGCAGTACAAATGCTGGAAGATTGTCAATACATTGGGAAGCATCGATGCTTATTTATTCGCTATGAATGTTTGGTGTTGAATTCACGCTCCGAAATTCAAAAAGTCCTTGGTAAGTAATACATTAATTCATAGATATAGTATTTTTATGGTACATATTATTATGTGTGTAAAACTTGGGCAATGTGTTAGTAAGTAATTCCATATCAGTTGGTTTATTAGATGTATCACACAGTCACTGAAACAGTATTACTGTTTACTGGATGAGACACAGTTTCGAACACAATTCATTATTGTTCATAATCATTCCATCAGTTATAATCACTTGACTTCGAAACTTCAGTTTTATAGTTTTCTTTGTTCTCTCCTATTTGTCGTCGCTGGGGTAGTAGAATTTTCCAGATATCAGGCTGCAGATGTGCTGAATCATTCCTATTACACGTATTCTTTCTCAGTTGATTCGATAAACAAAGCTTCTGTTATTAATCTCTCCCTCCACCCTGCTCTTGCATTAGATTTCAAAACTGTCATCTAATCCCATCCAGCCTATGGTATGGTTGGTTGTGCGTAATCGCATGTGGTGAGTGTTATAGCTGAACTATCCTCCAGATTTCTCATCTTATTCGGGTCAACTAATCTACATTTTGCTAGGAATATGTGCCCGGCTAGTCTAACTGACTAAACCCTGTTCTACTAGTTTGACCTGTGTATTCGACCTGACAATCACTGGAGGCTGGGTATTAGATAAACCAAATTGTTTTGTTTTAAAGGCTCCACAGGACTGATCCTTCAATCGGCAAAGCTTGTTTCCAATTTAGTTTGTGGGTGGTTTGATCACCAGTCATTTTTATTCCTGCCTACCTTGTTAAGAATTCTTCGTAAGGTTTCCGAGGTTCCTTCCTCCTTTGTATGGAATTTCTACTGATGATTTGGAATCCTTATTGCTGATGTTGTCATTATCCTGTGCATGTTTGATATGCATGTCGTCATTAATATTATAATTATTATTATTATCTCTATCAATACTATCATTATTTATTTTATTTTTACATTTTCCTATATACTTCCTGACTGGTTTATCAAGGAAGTTATCGAATTTCACACCTTCTCTTATGTGCCACACTTCCCGCCTTAGATTTTCTTTGGTACCCCTCAGTTTTTGTGCTCTATTATTTAAATATTTCACTAATCCTACTTTCACTGACATAGATTGGGTGGGATGATTGGGAGTCCGAATATCTATCTGAATGTGTAGATTTCCTATAAACACTAGTGTTCAAATTCCCATCATCTTTCCTCTTTTTACGCTACAATCTAACATTGGAAATTCCCGTTCCTGACTTTCCAATTCATAAGTGAATTGAATTGCCTCCACCTTTGAGTTGATGTGTTCGAAAAATCTGTCTTTATCCCGTGTTCTAAATACAGTGAATGTGTCATCTACATACCTCCACCATACTTCTGGTGTGGGGCTGAACGTTTCAGTTGCTATGTTTTCCCACCTATTCATGAATATATCTGCCACAAAAGGGAATATTGATGACCCCATGGCAACTCCCTCAGTTTGTTTGCATATTTTCCCCTGTTATTTGAATATTGTGGAAGTCAGCCATAGCTTCACTCCCAACAATATATCATCAAGAGGCACTTTTGTCTTAAGTTCGAGTTCTTGGTCAGAAATTAGTTCGTTTCTGAATGTCTCTTTAGCCATATTTATTAGTATACGTGTATGTATATAAACTGACAATGTCAAAACTAACCATTTTCTCTTCATTATCTAATTTTAAATTATCTATTCTATGTTTTAGTTCATAAGAATTAGTTAGTCTAGATTTCGAGTGGATTTTTAGGAGATTTATTACCATGGCTAAATATTAAGATAATTCATAAGTAGGTGAATTGCTAAAATCAACTATAGATCTGTGTAATATGGTATTCTGACTTATGAAATTTAACAACACCATACTGGGGTTATTAGTTTTGGGCATTAAATGAAACCATTTAGACTCACGTAGAAACGGCTTCATTCAGCGTATAAGGTCTGCTGTGGATTTCTTGATCTTGTGCACAACGATGTCTATTGATTTATTAATTTCATCATATGGTCCCGTTTGTATGTGAGCATTCACCTTGTCCAAATAGTCTGATTTGTTTAATATTACTGTTGCAATTCCTTTGTCTTACTTTCGAAGTCGTGTGATTACAATTCATGTTATGATTATGAACAGCAATAATGACTTGCGTTCTAAACTGTGTCATCCAGTAAACAGTAATACTGTTTCACTCACTGTGTGATACATCAAATAAACAAACTATTATGTAATTAGTTCATGAAGCAATAAGCATTTGCTTACACTTCGTTTGAATCATTGAATATTTTGTTACATTTAGTTAGGTCTCACCTTAAACCCCTCCAAATGCCAAACAGTTAATTTTACCTTTAGGCACGAATCTGACCTAAACAAACTGGTTAGGACTCACGAGGTGTGCAACACAGATGGCACTGAAATTGAAACCAAGTCGGAAGTTAAATACCTAGGCGTCACTCTATCTTCTGATCTTTCCTGGTCGTCTCATATCTTGACGATTTCGAAGAAAATATTCCGTCCTACCTTCTACATCAAGAAGTTAAGACTTTCTGGTGTAACCCAACCCTTACTCCTACAATTTGTTAACTTCCGTATTCTGCCTATTATTCTCTATTGTTCCCCCTTAGTCTTTCCTGGGCTATTGAAGAAAGACTATACCTTATTACGTAGGATGTTAAAGGTTGTCAGAAGGGTAAGCAGTTTGCCACTTAGCCAGCTTGTTAATATTCTGGTTGACAGGCACATGGACTCATGTGAAAAACGGGCAAAAACCATTTTATCTGACTCACAACACCCTCTACATTCACAACTCTCCCCATGTATCTCTACAGGGAAAACCAGAAGCCTATATAGGAAACTATATGCCCGCACTAGTAAGTACAAAAACTCATCCATACCCTACCTAGCTCGTGTTCTGTGCGATAAAGAAAGCATTAGGCGCGAAACCTTTAACTTATTAAATAGTCAGTAGAACAAATGGATCTCGTCTTTCCAAGTCACATCATTTACAGGTACAACGTTTTCTCTCTACTTTTTGTCATTCTGTATTTATTTTTGTTATGCGCTGTTTTGTTTCTCTCTTCCTTACAAACTCTACTTAAAACATTCTTCTTCGTTCTTTCACACTCTGTATATCTCGACCATTTCGCTATCGCTTACGCCAGTAAATATTCTAGTAGTATATACTTTTCTAACACCTTCAAACACTCTGTTTAAATTTTGGCTTTGCTACCGACATGCTAATATGTTGTTGTCAAAACTGACTGAGATAACTTTAATCTATGTAGAACTTTATTTATTGTTAATGTACTTACTGGATGCAATACTGTATGCAGTGAAATGCTGAGAATTCCATTCTGTATCACAAGTACTGATTTGGAATAAAGCTTATCTTATCTTATCTTTTTACAGTAAATATTTGTGATTAAAAATGAGCAACTTAAAAATGCCTGTTGAGTCATATAAAAGAATAGACGTTCATAGAAGTGTTACTCGTCTTTCTGGCGATATCATTCTCAAAGTGTACAATCACATTCATAAGTAGTAGTTAATTCTCTTAGTAATAAAATGAATAGAAATAAATAAGAGAGAATATAAGGCATCTACTGTTATACCATATAAGTAGGGGATATCTGAGACCATCCCTAAGTAGGATTCTTAATAAAGCAGAAATTAGAGTAGCATTTGAGTATCCAAACCTACTCATGGCTAAACGACCCTGTCGATTGACCCAATTAGACAAAATAATATAATTTACAGCATACCCTGCAATGACTGTGAATGTGGTCAACTACATAGGTCAAACTAGTAGGTCGTGGGGAGTCAGATTGTCGGAAAACAAGAATTTAGCTAAGGTAAGAATGGTTGACCATGAGAAGATAAGGAATTTAGAAGAAAAACTGGCGATTGCACTGCATGCATTAACACACAACCACACAAGAGCATGAAGGGAAAGGGTTAAGATTCTAAGAAGTAATATAGATAGGTGGAGAGAGATTGACTACTGGTTCATTGAGTCTTCACTTAACACAACACATGCAACAGAAATGACTCAATGCAAATACCAAAGATATGCATGGAAGATATTATTACCACCAGTCAGTCAGTCAGTCAGTCAAATCAGAGGAGGATAATAAATAATCTCAAAATTCTATTTCAATTCAAGCACATCACAACATTCTAACAAGTTACTTATTTCGACGATAAAAACACTCGTCTTATTTCCTATCTGATTGTAATTAATCAATAGCACTCATATTAATATTTCTGAATGTACATTACCCTACATTGATTTGTATTCAAATGTCTAATCATCAATCCCATTCATGTATACAAATGATGGGGAAAAGTTGTGTGAGTGACTTGTTATGATTATGAGTGTCAATAGTTTGTGCTCGAAACGTGTTCATCAATTAATATCACTGTATAACACGACTGTGTGATTTATCAAAATAAAATCTTATCCAAAATGGAGTTGTACTCTACCACAGTGCCCAAGTTTTATTCTTATATCAAGTACGTAAAATGTTAAGCGGATTAGGAGTGTACAGCTATTCATTAAATCCTCCATCGGTAACTACTGTAACTGGTTTCAATAACCTGAGACGAGCAGGTGCTACAGGCAAACTATATTAATATGTTACTTGATATATATATATATATATGCAATGTACTTATTCCATACTTGTACCAAAAATGCAGTGTGGAATCAAGCTGTAAATCAAAAAAAAAAACACTTATTAACTTCCCTAGGCAAGATATAAAAAGAGGACAGGTATCTCAGAATATTACCACGACGATTCTTGAATATGATGAAATAACAGTACAAATGCTGGAAGATTGTCAATACATTGGGAAGCATCGATGCTTATTTATTCGCTATGAATGTTTGGTGTTGAATTCACGCTCCGAAATTCAAAAAGTCCTTGGTAAGTAATACATTAATTCATAGATATAGTATTTTTATGGTACATATTATTATGTGTGTAAAACTTGGGCAATGTGTTAGTAAGTAATTCCATATCAGTTGGT